AACGATCGATTTTCACTTGCTATCGTCCAACTCGTGTTGGAAATCACACGTTAAAAGGTAAGACCTCGTTAATCCGTAGCTCGCACAAGTTTCGACTTCTGAGGGTTGTCATTCGTAGGGGTGCGACAGCTAGTTAACGGAAAAACATATTTTGAACAGATTTTTTTTAAACAGTTGAGTGAGCTTTGGGATATATAAATTCGTTATACTTCAAGTTCATGGCTACAAGGGGATATTTTTTGAAACAACTGTCACAGCTTTTCACGTCCGTCTCGATTGAAAATTTCAACATGTTTTTCAACATGAATCTAATATACTCCCATAATAGTCTGTCAAATAATTTTTTGCACAACTTTGTATGTATCTAACAATGATCTTTTGATATTCATCTGTGAGATTATGTCACTAACTGTAAAATGCTATAGAAACTCCAGTACACAAATTGGAATACACAAAATGTTTCAGAGGATATTTATTTGAGATTGCATATTGAACTTGCCTGTCCCCTGGAAAGTGAAAAAAGTGTTAGTGATCTTAAGTTGGGAGAACATCTCTTCAAAAAATTATTGATTCATCATCGGATCATCTTCTTCTCACTATGAAGGAATAAGAAAACCTGCCTGTGAGCAAAATTTCGTGAAGTGAAATATTTTCCGACTATGTAAATTTATTCAGCGGAATTTTGGAGTTATGATATTCACATTCCTGCTTTCCGAAGAGAAATGTTTTTATTTTCGTGTCAGTTACATTACATTGATGGGTAGGGTAAGGGCGAGGTTATCTGAATTCCAGGGGTCGACTCCGCATCTCACTAATGGAAGTTGTTTAAATAGAAGCATCCTTCTCTGTCGTTAATAGCTCACCGAACGAAATGGAAAACAACTTCAGTGGAAACAGCCCTCATTTTCACAATAAAGGAGACGATAACGTTTCGCCACCACCTCAGCAATTTTCTCGGCAATAACGTGAAAATTCAAAACGACAATCTCGCCTCTATTATAGATTTGAATGGATATTAAATTGTTACTTGGTAATAAAATTAGAATCTAGCTCTTTCTGAGGATTGACCGTGATATTATTACTAGTGAAATTATAACAATGTAGTTCTGAGTTTTGAATACGATCGAATTTATCTGCTTCATTGGCCTTACAATCAGTATCCATGCTCTTTTGAAGGACTGGCAGTAATATTACTATTGGTGAACTAATTGTATTGCAGGTTTTCAAACAATGTTTATGGTAAGTACATTTTTTTGGATTTTGTGAATTTATCTGGATATGAAGAAAATGTAAAGCATCATTCAAAGAGAGTAGATTTTTTGATTTATGAGTTTTTACTAGATAGTTTAGTGATTGCTGTACCCTATGTGTATGAGCGGCTCACTGGACAAACTTTACGCGGACATGAAGTAGATGTATCGCACGACGTTTAGTATTTTCCAATACAGAATTAAATAAATCAATGTATCGATTCATCACTACTTGAGAGACATTCTACACTTTCATCCATAGGTTGACATGTCAAAATTTGGTGAAACTTTGAATACGTTTGAAAGTCCAGACACACAATAACGTAAAAAATTCCTCAACAACGATATCATATTATAGTGTCACGTTACCTAATCATTTTTCATTCATTTCTCAAAATGAAAGGTGGAAAGGATATGTATGTTTGGACGTACAAATATATAAAAAATTTAAATATCTCCAAGCAATTATTCTAAGCCTGAGCGACGGTGCATCATACATTCAGATAACCTCTTGGACCTCGTTCAACTCAAATCCGGTCTGACTCGATCTCTCGTAACGATGAATTGACAAATATCAAGAAATTTCCGAGAATTTAACTTTTAATCGATGTATACTTTTTTCCATCGGTGTCGATTTCTTTATTTTTCTTCGAGTGGGCCTGAACCTCGCATTCAGATGTTAGATAAGATGGCAGTTACCTGCAGATGTTGATGTCCATGGGAAACAGTTGGGGATATTGTACGATAGGTCGTAGGTTTATGAATATGTTTGATTCTGTGAAGCGAGTTTTAGGTTTATGAGTCTTTTCGTAATGTGTTGTAGGTGTGATAGTTTTGACTTATATAGTGTGTACTTTCTTCTGGACTTCTTAGAGCTTTGAGAAAATTAAAAATTAATGTAGCAAATGGATTAAGGTACACAACATGCGATAATAAGAATACTGCGGCTTTTATGAATTTGTATTCCTACAGAGATTGCATTCATATTTCCAGTTTTTAATGGCTTCATCTTCGAAACAAATTTCGACTACAAACTCGTGATCGGGGAAAAATACGTAGGTAACAATAAAAATGTATCTTGATCCCGGATACCGGAGTTTTACCGATTCGTCCCATGGTTCAGCTTTGGCTGATTATTCGTTGTTACCTCTGCCGGCATGGTAAAAAAGGCCATCAGTTACGATCACACGATGACGCGAGCTAATGCAGCAGTAATAAATTGAGATTTGTGCGTCAGATATATTTGAATATCGGGCCGTACAGATGTGCATTGCCGTGTTGTACACAATTACACATTGTGGTGACATTAGTTTAATTCAGTGCCTGCTAATGAGAGTTTACGAGCAAACCACGTGAACGCCACGCAACGCCGACTTTCTTTTATTTTTCTATTCACTTCGGTTTAACGTTTGCTGTCCGGTTAGTTAGCGAAAAAGTTATGGGTACGCAACATTTGCTTGCAAAGTGCGGTTGGTTATTGCGTTCATTTATAATATTCCCGCGTACTTATTCATAACCTCAATTTTTCATTAGCCGGCTTTTCAGCCGCAATTGTTTAGACAGTTTAATTGAGTGTATACGGGAAATCGTGCCAGGCGCTCGCATCTATGAATAAATGTTGAACATTGCAAAATACTCCTTCACAAGTATTCAACTTTCAACTGTGGCATCAACTTTAACGAATTAGGACTTCTATGCATTTAGATTAGACGAAGTTGCTTTATCTGATGGACATTGGATGACACATTTTCATTTTTATCAGTTTTTTTAGTCGCTGCTCAAACACAAACGATAATATTGAATGATATGAAGTTCCAGTAGATTCTTATAATATCATGTGACCATATTATACTGCTGATTAATTTATTTGGTGTTTGACCTTCCAGCTTAGATAGCTCTAGTGGAACTCTACCAAATACAGTCCGGTTCGCGGAAGGACAAGCACAAATTATGTGCTCTGCAGGTCCATTCATATTCCAAACAGAGAAGACATACCAAATCTTCCTACATTCCAAATTTATTCATATGATTATTCCAGACCAGAGTGAAATGTAAGTAGGCCTGTTGAACAACATAAGTTTAAAAAAATCTGTTTGAAATCTGTTTTTCCGTTAACCAGCTGTCGCACCCCTATGACCGACAACCCTCAGAAGTCATTCCTGAAAGCTTTTCGTGAAGTTCTGGTAGACTTTATCAGAAGTTTGTAACTCTCCTGGATATTCATTTTTTGGTTGGAGAAACCTTTAGTGATATCAATGACAATTTTTGGTCCGATGAAATCACTTATAACGTCCTTCCTTGCCAGGTTCATTACCGTCTCGGCTAATTTGACCAGGAATATATAGAACATAATTATATCGAGTATAACATTAATTATTTTTACACGATTTTTGTTATTCCACTGTTTTTTTGTAAGAGAATGTATTTTCTAATATTGTTTTATGGAATCTGATGTTATCATAAACGAAAACAAAAATTTACTCCTTTATCTTCTTCTTGAAGATGATCACTCGGTGATCGAAACACGTGTCGAGGTGTAAAAATAACGATTTGGTGTTGAGAAAAAACTCCAGTAATATTCTTTACTTCTTGTCAGTTGATGAAAATAGAAAAACACATTTTCGTATGACAAGCTGAAAAGCCGATAAAACAGAGCTTTCAATGCAATAAAAATTATGTTCTCCGCTGACCCATATGGAAAAAAGAAACAAATCCATAAATACCCTTTCCAATTCGATGTTGTTCTGATAAAAATAACGGTGGTAATAAATGCATCGACTTTCATCGAAAAACATTTTCTAGTCTATCAATCCCAAAACAATTACGATCCATATCGAGCGCTAAGTAATTTTGGAAAAGTAAACAGGACCATTACGATGCCCATCTGATATCAATTTGGAGTAAGTAATGAAAGCCCCCTTATGTAAAAACTGTTACAATAATTGAAAGCCGACTGGCTAATGAAGAGTTTGCGCTTCTTTGCTCGCATTAGTGACGATAACGGTCCTAATGACTTAATCGATAATTGTTCATTTGCTTCATATAAAATTACAAATGTTAGGTTCGGATGAGGGAACAACGGGCCGTCGTTAAATGGGCATTACGACACCAGCTGATCCTGATGGTTGATAAATTTCCACTCTATCAGGGGAAAATACAAAGAATATATCTGGTTTGATTGGTTTGTAAACGGCTGAAGTTCTACCGGACAACTTGTAATGAGACTCACGTGAGGTATAATACATTTAAGTAGATCGTCTTCAAGTCGTAAAACTCAGATCAAGATACGACACGCTGAGCTCCGCCTCCCAATGCAACTATCGAAATCAGAACAGGTGTCACTATCAAAAGTATAGAATTTGTAGGTCAAGTATAAGAAGGAAGGAAACAAGCGGTGTTGTACACAAGAAAAAAGAGTTTAAAGAAAGTACCATCAAGTTTTTTTGCATTCCTTCGAAATGCAGCCTGAAAAAACTCTGGCTGCTAACAGCACTACTGAAAGTAAGAGGCATATATAGTAAGTAGTACACGTTGATGGAATACAAGGTTTTCAACGACGAATACACTAAAGTGACATTTCCACATTGTTTGAATGTGTAGACTACCTTTTGGACTAAAAATCACCCCGTGATCATTCAAAAGTCATTGTTAGTCATTTTACTACACCAAAACTATAATGAATCAGTGATTTTTATTCAATCTTCGAGTGAAAAAAGAATGTATGAGCCTAAAGAGTACTGAAAAACTTACCAGGATCCGAGGCGTCCAAACTTTGCTGCGATGCGGGTGGTTGGGAGAGAGGTCCAGGCGTTCCGGGCGATCTGACGTCATCGTTCACTGGCCCTCCATATGATAACGACGACGAGGGAGGTCTCTGCAATCAGAAACAATACTTAGGCATAAATGATGATATCTTATCAGTTCGCCTGCGAAGTAGAAATGGTCAAAGGGGAAAGGACATTTCATCATTTTTGGGGTTAGCTTGAATGATTTGAAAATGGTTTCCTTTGGATAAAGGTGTGATCCGTATGTAGATTAGTATTCTCAATCAGTATTGCCGCATAATTTTGTAGATATTCACCATTTTCAAAGACATTCAGCTAACATATTCATTTCGAAATGGGCCATATTGAAAATAATTTGATCACACTGTACCTATATAATTATTTGTGATGATTATCCAAAATAATTGATAGGGATGAAATCATCAATAACTTCATTACTGCTATTTCCCAATGAATGTTTTATATATGAAATATTTATTTTACTTCGGACCTAATCCTTTATATTTTCTTTATTCCTTTTATAACATTGTGGTTATAAATTGTTCCTTATGTATCACTCCCTGTATCACTGATATGCAACATTTGTATATCAGTGATACAGGGAGCAAATTTGAAATCAATTCTTTAGAGTTTTGGAAGATTTTTCACAATTTCATTTCTTTTCACTAATCAACTATATCAAGTCCTCAACTCCCAACATATTCTAATCCCTCATTTCCCGTCGAATTCGATAAAAACGCGGTTTTCGAGCATCCAGCAGATACATAATACACAAAGAGAGGGATCACATACCGTCTAGCAGTGGTCCCAGTCCCGGGGGTATGAGACATGACACTTCACTTTGGAGTGACGGAGGCCTATGCAAAAAAATATTGAAACACGACACCTCTGCTCCACGGCTCTGGATTCGGAGAACCCTCTTTATTATAGGAAATATTCATGAAGGAGGGACTGCGCCGACGAAAATAAAAATAATGTCTGGTCTGGTGAGACCAAAAAGTGAAAACGGATGGCTGGGCTGGATAAATGGTCTCGGCGGGGATTTCTACTGGGGCTCAGTATTTTCTATGGTGATCAGATAAGTCCAATAATAATAATAAAAATCGAAATGAAATACAAAAGGTAATATCTACTATTGAGAAACGTTTTCAAATAAATGAAAATAATGTTTCGGATGTAAAATCTCATGACTATGTATGACGCGGTATTAGCCAGGGTGGCAGTTTCTTCCCACCAATAACTCGCCAGATCCTACAGTGTATGAACATTGGGAGAGGTAAATTTTTTACGTACGAGAGTTGGATGTTCCCGTATAATGTAATAGAACAGATTCATTGAATTGGTTTTTATTTGAATATATAATCCTTACAACTGAAATAACCGTGCAGTTGAAATTGCTAGAAAAAATAAAAACTGTTTGTATTTCCCTCTCGTTGTTGAAAAGAAATGATAAATTACACTCATAACAGGTGGTGGGACAACTTTACGGTTCATTAAAATTAGCAGTTGGAATATCAATTAACTTTACCGGTACAGCACCTTGTATATGTTTTATTGAATATAACTAGGTGTGTAAAAAAATAATGAAACGCGTGAACGAGTTAGGAAAACACACACCCCAGCCTGGTTGAGTGGAACAAAAACTTCCTACTTCCGGTCATCGACATATGCCTTGTATTGGCAAGCAATAAAAATTATCGTATGCTAGCAGAGCACTGAATATATTGAACACCCCACAGAAAGATAGTTGAAATAACAATAATGGAACTTCTAAATTGCTCAGTTTGGTTTTTAAGTTAGTGGCCAGGCAGTTGGACGTGAGTGCTTGGTTCACTCCGTCAATCGGCCGATGTGTGAAGCTCCAGCTGAACGCTCGATTTTCACTTGCTATCGTCCAACCTGTATTAGGAACCATACGTTAAAAGATAAGACCTCGTTAGTTATTAGCTCGCAGGAGATGCTATCTTATTGAAGAATCATTTGATTCACGTGAATCACAATTAGGTTTTTGTGGTCTATCGGAGGCTTTTGATTGGGTGGATATACCACTGAACAATCTCTAGTAATATGGTGAAGGACCTTAATTGATTCAAGTCCCATCTGGGTCAGCGCTCTCAATCTGCAAGAACTCATCTCTGTCAGAAATTGATCATATAAAAAATGCGTTTGTTCTTGGGCCTGTTTCTGCAAGTTCAGTTTTTGCAGATTATCCCTTCCTCATGAATGACCCAAAACCAAAATTATGTATTTTTATTATGAATTACCAAAATGTCCTTGATCAATGATGATATCCCTTTTACAGTCACCACAAAATTTCTTGGAATCTATCTGGGCGATAGCCTATAATTGTCAAAATCATAACTCGAGTAGAAAATTATTCTCTAGTTGTGGTATATGTATTTGACTTGAGGTAGAAAACTGCAAATATGTTGTAGAATGTGTACTGAACCTAATTTCTACTCTGAAAGAACATATTATTCGTTATCCTCACATAGTTCGTCCCGGAGTATCCTAAAAGGAAATGTTGAAAGACAAAAACAAAGCTCTTTATGATTTGGTACTTGGATTCACCTGTTGAAAAACAATTTGAAACTATCATTTCCAATATTTATTTCATTGAAAACCTCAGTAGTCCATATTATGGAAAAAATATAGAATTATCTGTTGGTATGAAAAGTAACTCTAATAATTGAGAAGTAACAGTTTCTTACGGAAAAAGCTTTATTAGCTATTTTGAAACAAATTCTACTTTCCAACTCATAGAAACATTTGTGGATGTTTTATTTTTGACGTATTGGTTGAACAGCGTTGATTGTTGGGGGGATTTTACGACTACCTTTCGGCCTGAAAATGCCCCCATCACTATGCACCTCATAGTAGACTTTAGAATCTACTTTCAGAAAGGAAGTCGGAAGCTAGTGAACTAAGAAAAATCCTCATCCAATAGTTTTATGTGATTGCGTTACGTAACACGCTACGGCCCATTCGATGAGGTGCGACAAAAGCAAAAAGCGGCATGTATATATGCGACCGAACGATGGAATAATGGGCGTAAAGTAGCGTTTAGGTTTAGTCAATTTGACAACACAATTAGCTCGTAAAAATAATGCGAAATCTGCTACAGAGTCTGTCTAGTGTACAGTTACGGCTATTGTACGATCGTAACATTTTTATGGTTCTCATGAAGCGCTGCTAAGAATGTGTGTTCGAGTGTATCGTCTGAGGCGCACGTTCCTCAAGAATTGCCACGTTGCCAAACCTGTGCAAGGATTGTAACAACTCAGAAGACTCAAATATTGTGTACCAAGTTCAGCACTTCGAAGGTATACCTCATTGATAGAAGCACTGATATCACCTATTTATATAAAGAGTCATTGGGAAATTAATCAGTGTCACCATAGCCAAAAACGAAGTTTTTTAATCTGCAATGGATTTCATCAGAGTTATCGAGTAGGATCATGAATGTTAAAGACAAAGTAATCCTCGAGAAGAATGCTCTTGAGTGATCAGAGTGAGCAAGGCGTTATCCTCAATGCGGACGCCATCTATAGGATCGACCACAAAAAAAAAACACAAAATCAGTTAGTTCTTTCAAGGAGATTTCCAATGTATATCGACCATCTTTCATGCTCTCATGAAAGTCAAGAAAAAATAAAGAGAATTTTGTTATGCAGATATCATTATATCGACTGTTTATAACATTTTTTCTGAATCAGTTTATGGCTAATTTTTGCTGCTAATTTCTTCCTTTTTTTGGTTCAGATTGAAAATGATTTTTGTATTATATATGCAATTATATAAGATTTTTTGTCAAAACTTACGAGCAATTTGAAGAAGCATACGTCCTAATGTATTATGACGTATATGAAACGACGTATATCAACTGAATTGAAGTCATGAATGAAATGTTAGATGCCCTTTCTCAATGCTTATTATCTACAATCTCAAAATCGACGTGTCATTATTCGATTTACCAAAAGTTGTTAAAGTGAACATAATCCTTGTTAGTTTAGAATTTTGGGTATGAATTATCGTTTTGAAAAGCATAAAACATTTCGCTTACCAAGTTGGCATCATCAGGAGATTACGTAAACTCAATTTATAGCAGTAATAGTCAGTAACTTCACCAGGAGATGACTGTTCAAGTCTTCATCGAGAAACGGTATGTTGATTTTGGTGCATGAAAAGTATTTATTGAATTCGTATAACGTCGGATATTTCCTTTCAACCAATATACTTTATTGAAAGTAAAGTTCCTCTTTCCTCTATTGATAAAAGCTCAAAAAGTCTAAGCGTTGTAAATACTTATCTGGTGAACATAAATATATAAGCATTTTAATGAATTCATATAGTTTTGTGACTAGAACTGATTCTCTTTTAAGTTATCATTGAAGAAAGCAAGTAATGTGTTAGCTGATCCCTTTATTTACCTTCCCGGACAAAGTTGAGTAGTTTTGTACACTTGTTATAAGGAAATAATATATTCACTGTTAAAAAAATCTGTTTTTCCGTTAATCAGCTGTCGCCCCCATACGAACGACAACTCTCAGCTAATAATCATTTGAAATCTTAGATGGAGTTCCGTTAGATCGCATTTTAACAGACTCTCTAAGGTTCCTGGAGAAATTTTCGAGGCACAGCACTACTCATTTCTCACAAAGAGTCTTTATGTTCTGAATGTTTATGGATTATTCGAAATCCTCTTAGATCCTACGACAAGCACAAACTGGCGACAACCTCGCGCAAATATGTCAGACTCGATCAGCACAATCTCGAAGGATCGAATCTGATATTGCTTTAATGAACACTCATAATTACATTGCCACTCCTACACAGCTTCTCGTCTAATAAATATGTTTGCATTCGGCTCCGACACGTAAACAGACCTGTTATTATATCGTCAATTAAAATCATATTATCTTCGCAGACCCTACGTCCAGCATCTGGGTCACAACCGAGGACAAAAGTGGATCCGATTGATTGATTCACGTTTGAGGTTCGGTGTTGATTGAATACGAGAAAAGTTATACGAACATATCTTTTGCCGGGTCCTGGAGGCCGACGTATTATGGCATTTTTCCCGACGTTT